GGTGAGCAGTGCCAGGGGAGATGATTAGGCACACCTGGAACCGGTTGACTAATCACTCTCCCCTCTGTAAAAAGAGTAGTGTGCTGGACCTGGGAAGGACTGGTTTTGGAGAGAGCTGGAGCAGGACCCGCCACCAGCTCGGGAACGGAACCGAAACGGCGCATTGGAAACAGAGAGCCCTAGCCGGGCGTGTGAGTGTGTGTGCGTGTGAGAGAGTGTGTGTGCGGGTGGCACACACGCTCGAATAAACCGTCTGAACCAACAAAACTCTGGTCAAGAGACTCTGTCGGGGCACCCACAGTGGCACGACTGCCACAATTGTTTTAAGCCATTGCCTTAACTTCTTTTTGAACAAGTTGGACTCATGGGGTGATTTAGTTTTGTGAGTGAGACTATTTTCTTCTCAGGGAAACCATTCCTCAGGAGTATAACCGGCTCGTTTTTTTCCCTCTTGTTGTTTTTTTCATTCTTTTTTTCTCTCTTTTCAAGGACCACTGCCTGCAGACAGTTATTCAAGCATTTGCTTTGGTTTCTAAGATACTGGCTGGGTGTTTGCGCATGTGCGAGCGGGAGCTGGCATGTTTCATTTTCAATTTTGCCATTTTTATCCGGCAGATTTTCCGCAATCTGTTGACAAAGGCTGCCACGGCACGCAGAGCAAATGTGGCGAGATTGCACAGGGCCTGAGAACAAAATTGAAATTGATGGCTGTCATCTGAACAACTCTTTAATAGGAGTCACATCTACTGAGGTTCAACATTGCATTGTGAATACATTTTTACTTTGACCGAATCACAATCCAGACAGCAGTTATTCACAAATTCTAGCTATTTTCCTCTCTACAGTTTACTGAGTGACCCATCAAGGAAGGAGATGCGGCCATTCAGGTGATAGTATTTCAAACATAATAAGGTCTACTGCAAAAGTAAAGAAAGCTGTGTTGCAGCAAAGAAGTCTCGAGGTGATAAGAACATTGATTAGCTCCACAGACCCTCACAATAAACAGGTGGAGTCAGAGATAGTGAGAGTTTCACAGCTCTTAGCAGAGGAGGATTTTTTCAACTTTCACTTACACCCTTAGCGTTAAAATAGGTGCTAAGGTTTAGGATGTAGGATAGTGTAACGCAGGTGTTGAGTGAGAAATTGTGAGTTTGAGAAGAAAGCAAGTAAAGGCAGGCAAATGAATGACATTAGATATATTACAGTTGTGTTTGATGAAGATTACTTTCCCTATAAAAAGAGCAGTTGGTAAGGAATTAAGAGGTGTTAGAGATAACGACGCTTCCTGCCAGTGATGAACTCAAATTTGTTTATGGAGCCGTATCACTGCCTGCCACAAACTGTTGACTCTGAACAAGCAGGGGTTGAGTCCTACAATGCCAAGAGCCGGTTTACTGTGGCAGATGGAAAGCAAACAAGGGGGGTAGCACTCAAGGTGAAGAGAGTGATGCCTCGGCTTCATTTGGAATCCGAAATATAAGGACGCTGTCGCATTCTGACAGTGACTTAAGAAATTTATATAAAGACATTTCGAATATAGTATGCATCTAAGAGCTGTCACGAAATAGATGGATGAAAGAATAATTTAATGTGATATAATCTGAAAATACGCTCTGCCAAAAAAGCGACAGAAAAAAGACCGGGGGATGAGTTCTGGAAAAAATGGGATATACCCAGTATTCACGGTGATGATAAACTATAGCAACATCTAGATCGAGCCTTTAAAGTCTATTATGAGTTGATGGGATGTTCTGATATTTTCTGAAAGGTGAGAAAGAAAATGCAGAATTCAACTGCATTATTTAAAAAAGTTTTGAATCAAAAGTTTCCCAATCTGGAAATCTGGAGAGATAACTGTCAGCGTGGAAATAGTATAAATTCAACATAAGTACTGACTAGCTAACTGCCCTCAATCAATGAACTCATCCTGCAAACTAAATTAGGCAAAGTTGGGGCAGCATGGGACATGCAAATGATTTACAGTCATTCCCATATCTAATATGACTTTCATTTCATTGCATACATTATGAATAAAATATGTTTGGTCTCACCAGCTGAATCTAATTTTCAATTTACCTCCAGACTAGGCTTCTAGCATTCCGAAAAAAGGTGAATATTCCACTTTCTGCAGAGAGGAACGTATGTTGATGCTAATAAAGAGTATTGCAACTAAAAATGGACCGACTCTTTAACCCTTAAGAGGATTCTGTATGAAGAACTACAGGGGTAAGAAAACTACTCTAAAGCATTTATAAATACACTATGAAATATGAAGAAAACAGTTATAGACAAAACGTCCAAAACCAGGTTGATAGGGATAGAGAGAGAGATTGCTAACTCTATAAATTGTCAAAAGTAAGGATATAGAATAAAGAAGGTGACAAGAAATAACATTAATTAACCAGGTAATTACAAGAATCCTATTTTTTTCAACTCTTTTCCCTGAGAGTTACATGAATACTCCAAAAACTTCCAAAAAACAGCCATATACTGTATATTTGTCTATAAAAACACATATATATATATGTATGTGTTGATTTATTTATTTTTTCTACACCCGCTTCTTTCAATTCAGGGTCATGGGGCTCTTAAGCCTATCCCACCTGCCATTGGACGAGAGGCTGGGCACAGCGTGGATGAGTCACCAGACCATCACAAGGCCACACAGAGAGAAAGGAGACACACCACGAAGCACAAGCCCACTCCAAGGACAAATCTACAATTACCAATAAATCTGACCCTTCTGGACGGTAGGAAACAGGACTACCCAGTTAGAATCCATCCACACATACATGGGCAAAAACACGTGAAGACCACACAGAAAAATTCCCAGCTGGGATTCAAACTCTCGCTGCGAGATGACACCGCTGACCACTGCCCCCACCGTCCAGCACCATTCTAACCAGAAAAGGCCAAAGCACAGGGTTAACTCCGGGAGCCCCCTTCAGGAAATAAAGGGAGACCTAGGTGCCAAGATTCGACTTGTCCCGGATAAAACCCCGGAGCAAAGATCTGTACTTTAACACCCTCTATCAAAGACCTCCTGGAGATGCTTTGCCGCTTCATGTCTGGAGCACGCTGTAAAAGAACTACATGAACCATCGGGGCAAACAAGATGAAAATAAATTGGTCACCGAGGGAGCCGGATTTCTGGGAGGCCACTGGCCTTTGGCTTAGCCTCGGGATATTTGCACCACACGACGGCACTCGCGGTCTCAGGTGGGGTGCGCGTAGAACCATCGCACTGTTGCAATTAGTCAAATGTCACGAGTCACAAATCAGCCTTTTTGAGGCAAGGTTACAGATAATCAGACTGAAAAGGTTGTCCGCCACATGTTGGGGCAATTTCAACAAACTGTTTCTGCACGCGCTGAATAGGGATCTATAAAAAGAGAGACTGAGCAGTTGCCATTCTTATGGTAATATAGAAATGCAGCCCACTGTGTAATCAGCCAAAAGTGCGACTGATGCGTTTGGTATTTGTGAACTATAAATGCACTTTAATGAATGCAGGGAGCCTCACATTGCTAATGTAACAGCTTTCTTTGGGTTTATTATTGTTTCATTTAGAATTCATTGCAAGAGTATATTTCTAAGCTTTCTAAAAATGCCAAGCACACTATGTAGCTTTATATTCTCTGTTTATGTTATCTCTCAGTGGTTCTGCATGGAGATGAGAGAAAAGTCACTATATGCACTATTTGCACATGCATGCATGTGTAAATGTGATCTATGTCTTGCTACAACTGGAATAAATATGTTTACAGACAAAAATTATATGAGGAGATTATTTCTCCAATTATCTAAAAGGATTAATAGGTGTTTGCCATGAAATTACGATGTTGTTCATCCATCATGAGGTCTTGTAAGTAAAATAGATTTGAATTGTTTTATTTTATGGTTCGTTTTTTTGGGTAGTTTATTTGATAGTTGTACCTAAAAGGGCTCAACATTTTCTTGCAAACGTAATGTTATCCAACTCAAACTTCAAGGCCACCATCCTAAAAAGTGAAACTTCCTTTTCTCATGTTTCAAGCGACAGCTACAGAAAAACGTTTGTGCCCCTGATCAGACTTTTTCTATACGTGCTGCATTTTGAAAAAAGCGGCATGCATTTTACATTAAGAATGGGGGTCTAAACCTCCAAACCATTTAGGAGCTCATGCACTCTCACTTCATTAATAACTTACAGTTATATATTTTAAAAATGAGGCCACATAATGTGTTCACTTTTATTCAATCACACTTTAATTAAATCTGATCAGAGATGTATGCTTGTAATGGGCAGTGACAATATTTTTTTCGTAGAAAAGTTAAAAAAAAAAAAGAAGAAAATAAGAAAGTGCTTTGGAAGTTTTATTGTCATCATCTGGAGGAGCCTTCCATAGAAAAACTACCCTCATTACAAGCATTTCCTGGGGGTTTGCAGCAGCAGTTCGAGAAGTGAAGCAGTCAAAATTGCTCCCCGAAGACTGAACTATCTCCGAAATGAATTTGTTGCAGTAATCTGAAGTTTTTCTCTAATCGAACAAAAACCGCAATGACCAACAAAGTATCCATCCGTTCCAGGACCAGTATATTAAAGCTCCATAAACAGCTCCAAACAGCTCCATAACTGTAACAATATCAATCCAAGTAGGGCCCTGTAATTGGGCTCTGCGGGCCACTGGCTGTTTGTCTCTGTTCTTTCAAGTGATTCACATGTTCTGCAAGCTGAGAAAATGAAAAGGAACCAGAACAACATTTGGTGATTAGGGTGTGGAGAAGTCAGTCCCTTTAAAGGGAATCTTAATTTAGTTGTTTTGATTTAGACGAATCCACAATGTCCTTTTGTCCAATTGGCTCTTCTGGGAACTCGAGTAACTGGATATAAAGTTTAATTTAAATTGTAGACTGCACTTTGTGGCTATTTCTACTAAATCTGCACGCTGTCCTAATCCCTGCACATCCACAACAAGACACAAGGCTTTCGCACAACGCACACAGCATTTCTATTGAACTATTACCCCAGGCTGTCCTCCCAAGTGCTGATCCATGCTGGCAATAACAAAGTTCACTTCTTGTGAGATGGTGGTCCAGAGACAATGGTAGTGGGGAAAAAAGTTGAATCTTAAACTCAGCAATTTTTTTCCCTTATTACCTTCTCGAAAGTTTAAGTTGTGATTGAGACAAACGCATATTGTTAAGACACCGCCACACATTTGAACACTGTGTTATTCGATTGTTAGGGGGAGGATGCTTGTTTTTCAAAAGCAGGTATGCCTGGATGTGCTGCATCAGAAAATGTACAGCATGCATGCCCTATATATTCTCATTACACGGACAGTGAAGAACGGGCACTTGGATAAAACAATGCAAATGTACATCCATACGAGAAACCCAGTGCAGCAAAAACAATCAGATTCATAAATCAAGTTATTTTCATGGATACAAAACACTGTAATTCACCATAACTTATTGAGAAATTCAATTATATCAAGATTTCTTAGGGTTGTGGCTTTTTTGGGTATTAAATGAATTATCTTTTTTCTAAATTAAATTTCACATTGTTTTAGTTTGACTGCCGACACAATTTGGTTTGAATGGGTTTCATATAAACACCCACTTTGTAAGTCAAATTCAAATTCGATTCAAGCGATTCATACAAAGAACTATCAAATGGACTCAGGCATTGTAAGGAAAACTGTTTCATTTTCACACACATTTTATTTTGCATCAAAAGATTGAAAAATGGCCCTTGTGTATGTGGCTGTGTATTCCTGAGGGCAAACCAATCTGTCACGTAAAGATTCTTCAAAGGGTGAGCTGTTACAAAAAAACAAAACTATCAGAGTACAACCAACAAAACAGGTGTGAAGACACTGCATTCTGGATTTTCACCACAGGCAGAAAATCCCATCTTGCTGCATTTTTAAGGTTATAAAAGACCTTTAAATGTTCTGTACATCGAAACACCTTTGAAAGCTGACAATGTAAATTCATAACCATTCAGTAATGTAACAAATAAATGAAAACAGTATGATACTGTTTTTGTTGAACATAATGACAGTGTCTTAAATCCATTTTTTCTTCTGCAGGTAATTCAAGTCATTTTAATGCATCTGCCCTTTTGCATTTCTGTTTACTGCCATACCATCTTCTGAATATTGCACAATTATCATATCTCTGGATTTAACTGGAAAAGAAAGAAATATATATAGCTTATTAGAGTAACATTTTGTATGCAGTGGCAGATAAATTGCAAATCTTTTAAGACTGCTTTGGATATCACGATTAATTAGTTGCTTTGTTACTATATCTTCAGTCATCATGTGTAATCATGTGCTGTGAACCATTGTTAGTGTGAAGTATAATGTGATTCACTGCAGGAAGTACAAAACATTGTTAGTTTTTTTCAGTTTTTTTGGCATACAAGTTCCAAGTGTGTACCAGTATTTTTTTTCCATAATAATTCTCAGTATTTCCCAAATGATCACCACAAAGCCAAATATATATGCTTCGTTTCTGTTCCGTTTAACATACGTGTCCCTATTTGCCTTCACGATGCTCAGCTCAGCTGAAAATGGGTTTGTGCTTATTTTCACCAAAACGCTCTGTGCAAAATACAACAATACAGTAGCTTCATCAAAAAAAGCCAACATTTTGAGCATTTCTGAAAAAAAAAAAAAAAAAAGATTCACGATAATAAATCACAAAGGAGACAACATTGGGTTTGGCTTGCATAGCAAAGCAAAAGAAATAAAAAGCAATAAAAAAATATTTACAAATTTTGCAAGTCCTTTTTTTTCTCATTTTAAGTCTTTTTGTGGTGTGTTTTCGTCTTCACATATCCGCGGTGTGAACGGTTGTATACCATGTGACAGAAAACAGAAGCAGACATATACTGTAACATACTCTTTACTCTTTGAAGAGGGGGATGAAAATAACACTGTGAGAGAGGTGCCTGTGTCTGTACATGACATTTACAGTTTTGCATTTTACTCAACACACTTTTGTCTCTTGCATCATTCTAGGTTCTCTCCATCTTCTCAACATCATTCTGACGGACAGAAAATCTCATAGCACTTATCAACAAGGTGTCTTGGGACTCGGTTGTAGGGAACAATGTTTCACGTCGACTCTGAAAAGGAGACAAAACAAAAAAATAGTTGCAATCGTGATTAAATCACCCATTTTCAGGAGTGTCAGCTGACATTTTTAGGAAGTGGACAGTGTGTTATTTGTTATTTGGTTAAAAGATTTTCTGATTTTCCTTTAGAAATCACTGATATGATTTAGACAAATTGTTACCAATTGTTATCTAATCTAAGATTAAGTAACACAGAACCAGATCATCATCCTACTGCTTAGTATATACTGAACTATTTAACATTTGAGGAAAAATAAAGCTACAATGGTTTTAGATCGGCATGGAAAAATGATTCTTAAAAAGCCCATCTGTACATTTTTTTCAAATTGTTTAAAGGAGGGACAATCTTTTAAAATGTCCTCTGATATTTTGTTTTATTCATATGTACTATGAAACCTTTTGACTATGCTCACTAAAGACTAATGTATCACTTTTTTTATAACTTATTTTTATTCCAAATATTCTGACAGCAACATCCTTGCTGTTTATTTAGAAGAAAGTTACAAAGTGTTTTTTCCTAAATCAATCCAACAAACACGTTTGCAAAAACCCTCAAATTAATGCCCACTACAATAGAGTGTTGGCTCTATTGAGCAGATCTGTTCTGCGCGATATATGCTACAGTAATACACCCCCCGTGACAATTAACACTTACAGTGTTCCTTTTTCTCTGTGCCATTTGCGGAGAGATGCCCGCTGTGCGAGAGGTCCGTGCCAGGCCTTTTGTGAGAACCTCCGCTTAGGGTGGCCCTGCCGGATGATGTCGTGCCACTCCAGGAAGCCATATGCTGCCTCTCTAGCGTCGACACGGTCACCATGCACTCTTCAGAGGGGTCTGAGGATGCAGCTGCCCATGAGCTGTGCATGTGGGGGCCCATGCCGTGCAGGGACTTCATAGCCGATGTGTGGGCTGTTGAGTGGGTAAAGCATGGGTATTAGCAAACGATATGACTGAGATATTGGCCCAGTGTGTGTCATTTGGACTAAATTTTACTTTAAAAAAGGATATAATATTGAATCAATAATGCCTGAGGATATCAAAGAGCAAAACTGACCGTCTGTGTTGGTGTCTCTTCGTCTGGGAAGAGTTCCAACCTTGTCTGTGTGAGGCTTGTGGCCAGTGAGTGGTGCCCTCTTGTGTCCGAGGCTGTGCGTGTTCGGTCTGCCGTGGTCTGGCGTGCCGTAGCTGTCCGAGTGACTCTGCTGGGAGCTTTTGCCTGCGAAGAGCAAATTGCCAATCAATTCCACGACAAATATTTGGCTCAAACGAGGCAGATCTGCCCAGACAGGCGGGAGGAACAGCCAGGTGTGTCAGTCGCAAAGGAAGCTGTTACTGAAATTGGATTAATGACAGTCTGGTTTATTGATGTTATATTAAAGGTGGTATGAAGTCTATTCATACTACATTCCATCCCACAGAATATAATCCCATCATACTCCTTGGCGTGCTACTTGGGTATCTGTCACTGGACGCTTTGATCAACCTGTCCTAAGAACTTTTTTTTTACCTTTGTTGCTGTAATGTAAGGGACGTGCTATAAATATGACATCCCCCATGGAGGCAGTACCATCACGATGACTGCCTTTATGTTTTGAATTGCTAAGCAGAAGATATTCTTCTGTCCACCTGAATTTACTTCTGGGATAATAACTCAAATTAGATGACAGTTAAATATGAAATGGAAAACATGTTTGCATTGCTAACGTTTGCAAATATTTATAGTCGCATTGACCTCAACAATGGGTTATTAAAAGTACTGGAAAAAAACATTCTCAATGCGACTTCAACTGCAACTTATCAAACGACAGGGTCTAAAAATGGTACGGTTCTGTCTCTGAGAGGAGAAGCGATCAAGCTAAAGAAAAAAGCTTTTAGTGCAGAAACCTATTTTTAAATACATCAAATCCTAAATGTTAGATGTGATACTTTTTCGCTAAAGTTATTCAAATATCACGGCGTGGCTTTAGCGTCAATAAAAGAATGGGAGCAAGAAACTTTTAACAGACACTCTGAAAATTCGCTTGAAAAAGGAACAACTAAAAGGTACTCAAACTTGAATATTTGAATAATTCCGAGCCTATGAAACTGGAATCAAGTGCAGCTTTTACATCCTCTCCGACTGTCAGAGTCTGTCTCTGCTGAGCGCTGTCCATGCTTGGCTGCATTTGGAAACATCTGGAACACTCTGCTGGAGCCTTGGATCAATTAAAATAATCACATCTCTCAAAACTGAATGATTGTGCTTGATTTGATCTTTTCTTTGTTTTTATTTGGATTTTCGTCACAATTTCTTACTCAGTCATGTAAGAGATATTTACTAAAAGTTTAGTCAGTATTCTGTTGATTCTTTTTTAAATGAAAAAAACATAAACTGAGTTTAGACTTATTCTGGCTGAAATCATGCTGGCATTTTCGTGCTGACCCTGTGGTCGACTCGTTTAAGAGAAACAACCTCAGTTCAGTTGAAAAAAAAAGGAAGAAAAAAAAACACACACCTGAACTCTCGAGGTTATCCACGCTGTGACCAGGAGTGTAGTCGAAACGACACAAATTCTTCGATACCACAGCATAGCTGTCTTCCTCCTCCTCTTCCTCCTCAACCGCCTCCTCCTCTTCCTCCGAAAGGAGAGTGGCGCCCAGATCGGAGCCCAGCGTGCTGGACATGAAGTCGGTCGGGGTGTTGGACACATTTGGACTGCTCTTCATATGCCTAATCGAATGTGTGGGAAAACACTTTGCATTAATAAACACAATATTTTTATCGAAAAACAAAAGCAACGAAGGGAAAAAAAAAATACTGAAAAACAGGCATCTGAGTGCAAAATCAGAGGATATCCCGAAGCTCGGAGATGCAATGTGCAGCGACTATGAATGCCTGCAGTGATTTTGGCTGATTACTTTTCTCAGCAGCGTTGTGTGTTGTGCTAACACAATGGAGTTGTAATTGGACTGGATAAAGAATATCTGGATGGGCAGGGGCTGTCAGCAACATGCCCGTTATCTCCCGCACAGCTGTCCTCCACGGTGGCTCACATCCCACCGTCGAGGAGATGCGTGCATAATTACCAACTCTATTTACCGATGTCAGAACAGCATGTAAGACTACAACCCGGTCATTACCCCTCCGACACGTGTCGGTCCTGACTTATCAAGTTTTTACCGAAGCTTCGTCAAAGGTGTAATCAACGGAGATATGTTGTTTTTTTTTAATCGCTCCTAAGATGCGTGGACCGCAGATTTGCGCTGACATGTGTAAATACCGGCGTTCAAAGAATGCTCAAACACCTGCCATTGATATGCAAAACTTTGGCTATCAGCAGGACAAAATGGATGTAATTACAGGTATCTCCCCCAACTGTGCAAAGCAAACACGTCTGAATGAAATTGCAATGTCATTAGACAAAGCAAAGCAATCTTTCTTTCTTTTTTTTTTTCATTTTTAGAACCAGAGGAGGTACAGATATAGTCCAATAATGAAGCGAGCTAAAGCTTTTAAATATTCTTACCATGCCTGCTTGGCCACTTCATACTGGTAAGCTCTGGTCAGCTCATCTAAGTGGGCTTGCAGAATGGATTGCATTTCTTCATGGTGGGCGGCATTGAGGGAGGAAGATGAGGGCTGGCTGAAGGGGGCTACCGCTGGTGAGGAAGATCTTCCTCTCAGGGGAGGAGTAGGACCTCTCTCTTCCTCTACTCTGCTGTCCAAGTTCTGGTGACGATAAGTCTGGACGGACATGGGCGGTGCCCAACTGTTGTTGTCATACCTGCAGGTTTGGTAAAAAAAGTTAAGTCTGACGTGTTTTTTTTTGGTGTTACTGGTCCAGATCTGTGGGATTTAAAAGCATATTACCCTCCTCCGTGGTTTTCCTGGGGGTATTGGTCGAGGTCAACCTCAGTGCCTGGAAGCGGGTGCATCGGTGGTGGAGGCAGGGGCATGTTAGCCCAACATGTGCCGTTTGATTTTGTGGTTTTTGTTCCACTTTTCAACTTCTTTTTCTTCCCAGCCTTTGTTCCTGGGAGTTGGTAAAGACAGAATGCTGTGTGAAACCCTGAGAAACTGGGATTATTCCACAGTGGATCTACACCTGCATACAGTTCTGCTTTGAAAGTAATCTTTCATCTGTTTGCAGCACATGGATTTTCAAACCTGTCTCCCTCAAAGTGTGTGTTTTTTTTTTCTTTTCCTGGCTTCTGACAGGACATTGAAACATTCTAAATGTTGACATTTCTTAAAGAGGCATTGAAACCTGAGGCAAAGCATTTAAAGATGATTCCATACAGCTTCTCCTCTTGCTCTACTTTATCTCTGGTGAGCCTGACATTTAACTGAGCGTGCAGCCTTATTGTGCAAAACTACAAAAGTGCAGACGGATATGCCTTCGTGACTTCACAAAATGTATATAAGCTAAACGAAATAAAAAAATAACTTAGAACACTGAGGGATTTTCTGCCATCTCTAATCAAATTAAGGCAAAGAAATGTGCCATGATTGTGTGACATTTCTGGGCTAGATAAGCTCTCAGGGTAGAATTGTGATGAAGACAGAGGAGTAATTAAGAACATTGTCCTAAGGGTTCATTTTAGCGAATATGTAAATGATTTTTTTCTTTCCAGTTTGCTCTTCCCAAAACTTAAGGTTGCAGAACTTTCACTGACTGGGAAAAAAAAAATACAACAGCTATAATTCAAATCTCGTACCATTACCGGGGCGCTTGTCAGTTAATGAGTAGCCCATGTTTGCCATTTCCTGCTGGGCTTGCAGAGAAGCCTTCCAGCGGGGATCTGGCCTGTCCACGACCAGCTCGTGGAAGCTGTTGGACTGGAGGATCTGGGTGGTGGCGTAAGGGGTGGGCTGACCGCCTCGCGCCGGGCTGCTGTAGCCCCCTTTCCCCATGAAGTCGATGCTGCTGTAGATGGCCCCGTCGGACAGCATGGTGCCCGTTTTCTCCACCGCCGCAGACGGTAGAACGTCTGAGTCCACGGAAGATTGAGACAATAGGAGGAGGGGGAACGGAAAAAAAGGCAACACGGAGGGATAAGTTGACGTGAAGTTAACGATCTTTAAGGTCATTAACGTTCCCCGCTGCTCTGGCATTCAGTATTAGTTAAATACAGGTCTAAACTGGACTTGATATAAATGAAAGTGATTATCAACAACCATAATTAGCATGCAACACTCTGTGGGAGCCTGGTAGAGTGTTCACGAGAGGGAATATTCAAACAGCGCTAACCTTCAGCTCTTTTGCTAGCACACAGAATAAATAGCCTCCAGCTCATATTACGTAGAAATATATGAAGAAAACTCATAAACATACACCTACACAAAAAAAAAACTCATAAAATGTACAGTGGCAATGTATGGCAAACAAATAAAGGCCAGAATTATATGCAAACAACACACTTTTAAGCTAAATATCAGGCCTGCCAAAACAAATTAGTAAAACGCAACCCTCAAAGGCTCTTTTAATTTGGGTGTGTGTGCGCTCAGCTCGTTTGTGTGCGCGCGTGCATTTGCGAGATGTGTTGTCACAATCTTCCGAAAGGATGAACATCAAAACTGTCAAGCAAGGCATTGCTAAAACTGTATTTTCTCCTCACCTCCTCACCCCCCACCCCTCACCCCCCAAGCTGTTTGTGTTTCTTACCTCCTCGGCCAAAGTTGCTGCCCCCCTGCGGACTCCCTAAGCCCCCGTTAGCTGGGAGGCTTGTGGAAGGCCAGGAGTCAGCCAACCAGGGGAGGCCTGGATCACCCCCCTTCAACAAACCTGGACGGCTGCAGGGGGGGGATGTTTGGAGCCAGACAAAGGGATGGGAGGATGGAGACACAGAGAATCAGGGACATTGTTAAATATTCAGCCTCCTCTGTAACGGCAAAGCTCATTTTCTTCCTGCCGCATCAACAACAAAACGATGTGAAAACTCATTCAGCATATTCTCGCCTGTGAAGCAGCCCGGCACACAGGCAACAATAAACAACAGAGAGACATAAAATGGCAAGTCTATAAATCAGACCACCACCTCCCCCCCCGCCCTTTAACTCTCCCACCCCGAACTCTCCCTAGAGAAACAAGGCAGGCCTAAACACACACTAAATCCACTTTAGAGCCCGCGCACAACAGAAATTTACATTTTAAATTGAGAATCATGGACAGCCTCTGGCAGATCGGCTACACTGGAGCACGGTCTCCATGGCAACAGAGACAGCAAAAAGCCCATTAGGTAGTTTAGGAAAGCTACCATATCATTTTGTCTTTGTGAAACACAACATGAACGCATGCTTTGACTTCAAGGTAGGAAAGATGATGGGCAGCGGTTCAGAAAGGGGGAAAAGATCATTTGCAACCTTTTCATATCACCAGCTGTACACCAGCAAGACATTCCAGCGTCTGCACATCCAGTAAACACGCTCTGTTTGCATGTTTAACATGCAACTACACAGTGAATTTTCCACCGAGCATGGTTTGCCAGGAGCCAAAAGAATCACTCATAGCTTTTCAAGCCCTCATATCAGTAATTTCCACGTTAAACTACACATGTATGTTTTCCTTTTTCTCTGGAAAACACAGAAAGGACATGTAATAATCCTATATCTATATAAAGCAATTCCACCTCATTCATTTTGTTTTATCAAAGACACAATTCAGTGGAAGGACGCAATGGAGAATTTGACTTTTGGGTGGTTTTGTAAGTCTGGCCAACTAATCAAGTCTCCTATCCTCACATTCTGCAGATAGAAAAAGAGTCGAGCAGGCACTGTCCGGTCCATGACTGTGTCCTCTATGCTGAGCTTTCATAAACAGAACATTCATCACCTCTCCCCTTCCCCTGCGACCTTTCACTGCGCCAGCATGCTCAGATGAACAGAGAGCGCCAGTGAATAAAACAGCTGCCCACCTACATTAATTGGTAGGACTCACTTCAAAGGAGTGATTAATGATTTCATCAAGCGAACACTAGCGCAAATCATACACTGATACAGTGTGAATAAGCATGGTGGAAAAAGGTATGCAAATTCCATTCATCATGAGAGAACTCTTCATTTCAGGTATTACAAAGGAGCGGTGGCACAGGGAAGACAGAATGTGGATTGCGCTGCATGGTGCCCAAATGTCAGCGGGAGAGCTCCGGCTGCAGGTTCTCTTATTTTTTTTAGAACTGAAATCCTCACCTTCCATTTCTGATCAGGCCTCTGTCTCTTTGGAATGTGACTTGTAGAGAAAAGAAAGGAAGAGAGAAAGAAAATCAAACCGCAGCAAACAGAACCTCCATCAAGTTATGTGGTTGGCTATCCCTGTCATGACTATACATATATATATGTATATTTCTGATATAGATGATATATGACATGATACAGACACATACCTGCTCGAGTAAAGGTGAATGATTGAACTGCAATTCAAAACGACAAGAGAGTGTAAGAATATAGATTGGTATGTAAAAATAATTACTCTAAAGTATGATACTCAAACAGAAAAAGGATTCTAATGGAAAAACAAATTAAATATGTTAAACAGAACTCCCTTCATTTTGCTGTAGATGCACATCCATCTCTGGTAACGTATCACCACTGATCAGACTTTGATGAAACTTGAAGGATGTAATTCATCTAACCACCGCATTCCAGCATTGTCTGAATTAAATGAGCTCTCCTGGGAGGTAAAGCTCATTCAAAGGTGGCTCGATGAATCTTTATTTCCCCCCTTGGAGCACATGCATCCGCAAAAACAATTCAATCTATTTTTTTTTTCATTCCATCTTGGTCTTGGACCAGATTAATAAAAAAAGGCGTGAAAGCTTATCATATATACAGCATATACTGTATATATATATATATATGATGTGTGGGTACATTTGTACACAGACAGACAGACAGATATATAATATTTCATAATATTTAAGAATATGGGAAAATAATATTGAATCAAAATGTTTTTTGTTTGCATCAGGTTCATTTTATTAAGGAATAAGAGTGTTTACCCAAGCCACCACAATACATAAAAGCTGAACATTGAAATAAATTCAATGCAAGCGTGACTTGTGTGGGTTAAAAGAATATTCCATACCTAAACCGTGATGTGCCTCAGGTTAATGGGCAAACAACACGAGTCGTGGTCTGATAATGGAAGAGGATGTTAAATTACTTATCTCGCATGAATGTATTAGAGTGTTGAGGTGTGGGGCTGATGGAACTCAGCACAGCTGATGCACATCACTGCACAGTGAATTAAAGTAAATAGATCTTATTTCCATCTATGCTGGAATATATTTTCCTTTGTTGTGCATTCCAGGCCCCCTCAAATGGAGTCACATCTGTGACGACATCAGCTTCCACTGGAGGCAGGGGCCAACTGCGTTTTTGAGATCTGCCGATAATTCACGGCCATATGGAATGATTGTTTTCACCTGCATAGTTGCTCAGGCCCTTCCTCTTCTTTCTCCTCCAATAGAGCCAAGCGCTGAAGCCCATGAGGACAATCCAGCAGGCTCCTCCCAAACCGGCGATGAAGGCTGGCTGCTTAACCACGTCAGAGATGCTATTGTTTTCCTCAGATCCAGTCATTATATCACTCAGTTCTGCACCTATAGGCACAACACACAAATATATACGGATGCACACAGGAAGTGTAATCATTCAAGCGTGTGGGTGAATAGAAAATCACATTTTCTCCAAATCCTGTGCACAAAGATAAATCTGACTGACATTAAAGTCTATGAAATACAGAGATACATGCATACATTGCTACCAACAAAATATACATAAATAAAACTACTTTTAAAAATGACTCTGTCCAGGCAAGAATTGCACTTAAAACACAATTTTAGACAAAAAAAAAACCCCATCAAAACAAAATGGAATAAACTGTACATCAAACATTGGGAAACTGAGACCAAAGGGGAAGCCGGCAGATAAAAGAAAGAGGAGCCACATCGTGGAAAAAAACAAATAAAGAAATAAATAAATAAGCGGCATCAGTGCATCCAATATAGAGTTAATCAATTCAGCAGTGCACTTATCAACTTGAGCTGCAAGACATGAGATTGACAGAGCCGCTCTGACAGAGTTTGATTTTCTGTTGCAGCTACTGTGCTGTGAAATTAGATTCACAGTCCCCACCAGAAAACCCCCCCCCCCCCCCCCCCCCCCCCCCCCCCACCCCCCATCATTAAGCCTCGGTCCACAGGCCGGTTTCCCCTTCTCTGTGCGTTAAGGGTGTTATTATATATCAGTCAAAAGTCACAGATGAAGAGCATCTGGCCTGGTCTGCCATATTGATTCTGGGCTTATATAGTCTGGGCATCCTTTGGCTATTTCATAAGATGTGATAGGCTGATAAGCTCCAACAAAAACACTGTCTACTATGTTAGCACCAGCTGCCCACATACTGAAGAGGATTATTGATATGGCTAACAGTACTTGGCACGGTGTTACCAGACACTACACTTAATGAATCACTATTGATTTCTCCGCAGACGCCTGAGTTGTAAAGCGCAATCTTCTTTCTTGTGGTGCGATAAATTGCTAAATCATTTTTCCAGAACCCCCCTGATCTGCTGGAGAGACCCAGGTACCCCCATTATGAGGTCATTTCATTTGACCCCCAGGTTTGGAGTTTGAGAGTGGATTACCCAGGATGATGAGCTGGGGTTTGCTTCGGACCCCCACCCCTGCGCTGGTTCCTGCGGCCACCTCCACGCGGTACTGCACCCCCGTCTGCAGACCCCCCACCACCACCGAACGGATGGTTGCATCCACGGACTTATTGACGTGAAAGCGGGTGTTGTTGGCCAAACACCAGATCTGACAAAGACAGATGTGGTGGGACAGGATTTACTTTGGATAATAGTTGGCTAAACTAAAATACGCAGTCCGGCAGTAGGCTCGGCCTACCTTATACTCCTGGATGATGCCGTTCTGTTGGTCTGAGGGAGGGGGGTCCCATGACACACTGATAGATGTGCTGTTGTGGCTCCCCACTGTCAACACTGTCACTTGCTGGGGAGGTGCGCTGGGTGCTGATGAGTCATGGTAGGGCAGAGAAAATAAGACCATTATATGTATAAGAATAAAAACAAAAAGTGGACAGACTTAGCATTTTGCTTACAACAACAGGTTTCCTTTTTTCATCATGTTTAACTCTTTTCCTCAATTGATACTCAGACAGCAAACCTTACAACAAGACATCAGAGCACTTTATCTCACCATCTATAGGATTCCAATATCTTAATGGCACCCTAAGTTATGCAGGCCAAGCATTTCAGATCCCAACTGTGCTTTTTCTAATTGCATAAATGACTACTATTCCAAGCAGATCAGCAAGTTTAGGTATGAGTGGAAGCTCGTGCCAGCTAAAAAATTTGATGGTTTGTCACCACAAACGTGGGCCTGATTCAAACACTCCATTTAATAGTTTAGTCTTAAATGCATCAAATTGCCTTGATAACCTGCAGGGACAGATCAAAGATAAAAAAATTAAATAAAAAAAGGCAGCAGAGGACAAAAAAACCATGTCAGTGCAGCTGAACAAATCATTTTGCCTCAAAAAACTGGTCACCTCTGAAATTTCTTGTGACCCCATTTGAAATAACATTATGTTCTGACTGAGTGGCTGAAAGAACTGCTCTGACCTCGATTAAAAGGCTGTAAAACAATAATGCTTACTGCAGTGTATCAGCATGGTAAGCAAGGCACTGAATTTCAAAGCTGTGAGAAGAGGCCAAAGCAGGTGGGGCATTATCGTGGCCAGACTGTAGCAGCGAGTTAAATCCTGACGCACTTACTTCTGTAAATGGCCAACGAGTGCAAACATTTGGAGAGGGTTACACTGAGGCTAAAGCAAGCCATGTGGATAGTCCAGGTATTATCATTTAATAAAGCGATGACATATGGAAAGCACAGCATCTGAATCAGTTAATCCACATATAAAAACAGAGAAGGAACATCTTTTCTTTAGTTAGACAGCTAATTTCCCCTAAAGAATAACATTATACTTAAAATAAGGATTCTAAACAGATATGGCATGCCTGCAAAATATTTGACAGCCTGGCAGTGCAAAATAATGAAATCAGCCATACGTCAAATAATTTATCTTTGTTGTTTGAGAAATAATCTCATCCGAGTTTGAGGATGTCTATATTCAGCCATTTAGACACCATTTACATTTTTAGACAGTAAAAGAAATTGACATAGATCTACTATCCCAATACTGCAACGAAAGCAAAAAGACTTATTTAATTACAGATCAGCCAGATAGAAACTGAAACAAATCTATTGTATGCACCTATTGCAGTTAGTTTCAAAATTGAGTAACAAAGTAAAGTGGAAACTTGTGCTGGAAAGGGTAATTGCAAGAGACGGTTCACATATTTCCTCAATGCTCAGATACACCAGAACCAATGTCAATAAGTAGGAAATAACCTCTCACTTTGTCTCCCTGGATCAACTGATTTAAAACATACTGCAACGGCTTACTTTGATGAATTTAACAGATGGGTTTAGCATTGTTTTCTAGGACCAATTCTTCTGGAAATGGGGTTCTCTACATTTGTATAATCAGAAGCAAGCCACAATGAGTCATTCTTTGAATACAATAACTAATTTTCCTTGAATTTCAAACCCATCTGTGTGTCTCTGAATAAATAGCATTAGCCAAGGAACCAGACTATTTTGTACCCCTGTTTGAAGACAGCACTAACGGATTCAGCCAGAGGTCGACTGATGAGCAAGGAATCAACACTTTAAAACCAATTTGAGTCACCAATCAGTGTTGTAAAGAAACAAGGCTTTTTGTATGTCGTTTGCAGGCTAATAATTTCTAAGGCAAATATGACAAAATCATATTTGAATCATAAATCTGTTGATGGGAAACCAAACAAACATAAAAAATAAACAGAGCAAAGAAATGCATTACTGTTTTGATTATACAGAATAAGCTATGGAATAGGCTTTATTTTACTTTATGTCTACAATAAAGGGTTTTGTAGACATAAAATAGAAAGATGTTCAGTTTTCAAATGTTTAAGTATGGATTTTTTTATATGCAATATAAAGCATTTTAAAACAGTATAATGAGTAAAACTGGGCAACGATCAAAATGAGCAGTAAAACATGCTTTCTGATTTGCCTTAAGTAATTTCCCACTATATGATCATGCTTTAAAAGACATGGAAAAAAAAGTATTTCTATTTATCAATTGGAAGTGAACAGTCATGCAAATAACCTCCGGTTTTCCTCTCAGATGTCATTTCAGGGGATACTGCTTCAGCAAACAGCTGGACCTTTTCCAGTCAATCAAAGGTTTGCATTAGAAGAAGACAGGAACCATTAGGCATACTTCTGAAATTTCTATATGAATGGAAGCAATCCCTAAGGATGATTGAGTCTGCAATACCAGTAATGACTGATAACTGTTGTTAGTAATGGTCACTATACAGAAAAGGTCAAGGCTGCTCTTGATATGACTACTTCTGATATAGACCAATGAACAACGGAGCTGGAGAGTAATTAGTTGCAATGCATGCCTCCAGTGTCTGGGGGAACATTCAGATTTACCCACAGCTGTGCAATTAAACAAAAGGAACATAAGCCGCTTAATGTTTTGCTATACAAGACACAAAGTGGAAGACAACATGTAAATGAATGCATGAATGAAGACATTTCACTCATGATAAAGCATATGTTACTATGTAACTACACCAATATGTTTGATGCCACCTGACAGGTGTGTAGTATAAACACGCTATTATAACACGCTAAATCCAACATAGGCAGCAAAGAACTATTTACATATACCATTTATATATACATATAGATAGCTAATATTCACTCCTAAATCCAGCCAGCCAGTGCCATGATATCTTGTGTTATATTCTCCATAGACCTGCACTAACCCTGTGTGGCCATTTTAATTGGCCCCCTGTGATGTGAATTCTTTTGAGAGGAAGACCAAGTGGCCCTCCCATCATTAAGCACGAAATACATTGTGCAAATGTTTTCCTTTGCAGAAGATCCTTTCACAACTTTGCTCAAATAGCATATTCTATTAGATAAAAACAAACACGCAGTTGCAACCTGAATGCAGTGAACGACATAAAGAGTCGTCTTATCTACACAAAAAAAACAGAACCTATTTGAACTAAACACAATAGTAAATGCTGGAACTTTAAATATTATTCATATTCGATGTAACACACGATATATAATGATTTTCATAACTTGTAGTACACTGATGCCACAAACTGTTAACATGGGAAGAATCAGTATCTGATCTATTGAGTTGCACAACATGAAGACATCGAGACCTGTTACCACCCATGTAGCTCATTGTAAGTGTATTAGCAGTGGGGGGGGTCATATAATGCACGTGTGGAAAGATATGTGGCAGCGGGAGTCATGAGAAGAACTGTGCTGCAGTCAGAGGAGACGGTTTCTGCCCTCCCCCCTCTGCCCACCGACCCACAAGTGCCCCGAGGAGTCGGAGAACCCCACTGTGTTGTCTGGAAGACCTGTTTTCACACACTGGGGACACGGTACTGCAGCGGTGAGCGTGTGTGTGGGTGGGTGCACTTGAAATGACATTATCCATTACTATCTAGTCAGGGAGCCATTACTAGTGGCGACTAAACATGAAAGAAGTGGAAGCGCAACATTCACGAGCATATGCTAATGCGTTGACAACAAAATCTCACATTTTCTCCTTCCGTCAAGTCGAGAAAGAATTGTTTTTTTTTTCAGAGAATTCATTAGCAGATTACCTTCTTCCATGGTACGTGCTGTCATGGATTCGCTGTCTGCGCCCTGGAATTCGTTGAAGAATGGTCGCACTTTAATCTCATAAACAATGCCTTTGTTCAGACCAGAGATGGTTATGTTCCTCTCTGAGGCCACCCTCAAGTCTTGTATCTCCCACGGCCCCGGGGAGGGCAGCCCTGAAGTTTGCCGATACAAGACACGATAACCTTGAATAAACTGGGATGGATTCTCCACCTACAAAGAGGCAAGAGGGAGAGAAAAATGATGATGCAGCAGGTGTCACCTGTGCGTAAACTGCTTTGAATCAGCACTCGGTTTGTTTGATACGTTAGTCATAATGCATGCTTAGTTAGTCGCACAGTTTAATTGCTAACAGCGAGACAAGAAACATGAGGGGAACAAGATTTTTCCAGTGTGTCTGCAAAACATTCCAATAAACACAGCCTGAGTTAAAATTATTGGAAATCATCAGGGGTGTACAAACACATTCCTGTTCTATATTTTTTCCTAATACCTTGCAAACATATTTACAAATGCTAGGGCGTACAGAATGTTCAGCTACCAAGCAATTTGAATGTGTGCGATTTTTCATGAAATGGGAAAAATACACAGAAATTTGATGTAGCCTCAGAATTACTGCGCATTCATCAATCATATGGGATTAGGTCTTTCATATAAAGTCTGGATCGAGAGAGGTAAGTAGGAAACTAGGCCAGTGACACAGCCATCTCACCGTGTAACAGACTGGCCAATTAAAATAAACCCACAAACATGATCTGAAATTGGGAAAAGTGAATTTGAAGCCATTGCTCCCAGAGGACATACAAATGGCAACAACATTTTTTTTCTGAAAACGATGCCAAATATACCCATGCCCATAACCCACTTTAACGCAGCAGACACTTCTGCTGGTAATGGATGAGTGTTGTTCTCACAAATGGAGAGAGATCAAAGGATATCTGTGTACTCATTCAGATCCCCCACAAACACAGTTTAGTGTGTTACTGTGTCAGTCTAAATGGTGTATTATACTGCTTGGGTGTCATTTTGGAAAGCATTTAACAGTATGCTGGTACTAATCCTACCTAGGTGTGCTATGGACCTACGACAGCAGGGATTGGGGATATCTTGCCAACCAACTAGAACAACATTCCCTGATTAAAGTGCTGAATACAAACTGCTTCCAGAAGAAACCCTTGTGACACCTAATGGTGATGTATTTTTTCCCGAACAGAAACATTAGTCTTGATTTCCACACCACCTCAAACCAATCTAGACTGATGCAATAGCAGCTGTTCAGACTATAACTGTGTATCCATCCCATCACGTTTGCTCTGTGCATGTGGAAACTAAGCCAAAACGCAGAAGCGTGCCAAGAATAAAGTTCCCTAACAAGCTCAGAGCAGATTTATTTCAGTTCTGTAGAGACCTGTGTGGCTGCACAACTATTGCAATGTAAAGTGAAAGTTTTTGTTTGTTTCTTTTAATATGGTGAGTACTCACAGTCCATGTGACCTGCACCGAAGTAGAGCTAAGAACTACAGGATTATGCATGATGACCACAACGTCCCCCAACTCCTTCTGCACACGACGGTGGTCCACTCCTTGGGCAGTGGGACTAATGTCTGAAGGAAATCAATAAATGTAGCCATTAGAGAGCGGAGGAGTGCCACTAATGATTAAGTATATTTCGTTCTTATCTTTACCTTGAGTCCGAACAGGCTCAGACATTGGACTAGGGTCCCCCAGTCCTTGTGCATTGCCAGCCCTGATGATGAACAGGTACACGGTGTTGGGCCGTAGGTCCTTCACGGTAAACTCTGTGGTCTTCACGTGATCAGCCACCGTTTGCCAGCTGTTACTCACCGACTGACTGAATAAGGGATAAAAGTATTTTAATCAGGCAAAAGTACTAGTATTATGACAAAGACATTTGCAATCAGGGAGTCAAGCCCATGTGATGCAATGCCTTCATCCCTGATGAAATCTTTTGAAATACTTCCTGTAAATATCAGGAGGATTGAATTAAACCACCATGTGACAAATAGAAAATTAACCATTTAAAAAAAGCAAAAATGTTTTGTCCATCAACCTCAGCTCAATAGTATAATTTGACAAAAAAATTACAACAAAAATGTCATTACCAGAGCATTATTAAATGTTTTATAGATAATCCAAAGTTGCTTAAAATCGTCCTTGCTTGCTTGAACCCCCCCCACAGAGAAACCCACATCTGTTATTGACAGGAAAAGTTTCGGGGTCACAAAATGCAGCTCGAGGCCATAGGTCACAGACATACCCAAAAGCTTCGATGACATAGGAGGACACCGGGGAGCCCGCCTGTGGCCCTGGTTCCCATGACAACGAAATACTGCTCTTGGTAACATCGGTGACCTCTGGCTTGGAGGGGGGCCCTGGGAGAGCAGTTGTGTTGTGAGACATGAAGTCCATGAGGTCAGTGGAGTCTGAGGAAACAAAAGTCACTAAATTATTACCCTGAAAAAAAACTGCCGCGTTAATCTTTCATGTGATTTAGTTCTAGGGAGGCAAACCTCTGACGTCCAAGTAGGCGCTCCATGATGTTTCACCACTGGAGCTGGTAGCAACGCAGGTGTACAACCCAGAGTCAGACAGCTAAGGAAGACAGATCATTAAATTAGCATTCAGCCTACATCTTACATAAAGCAAAAAAAAAAAACTTTCTTAGAATGTTTCAGGACAGATGATCCCTTTTAAAGTTTCCAGGTGCATATTTTTACACATATCCGCAGCACACATAAAATTCAGTTCACACTGCACCATACTTCTGCGTCCAGCTGAGCGGTGCAGAGTTTGTAACTGTGATCCCTGATGGTTTCTACACGCTCTTACGTCAGTCTGGGCTTTTGAAGGAGGTTTTGCAGCTAGTAGTACAGTAAAAATGCATTAACCTCCACTGGCCTGCATTTGGCACGAGAAAATCTGTTGAGTGGATGAAAGGAAAGTTTAACACTAGCCAATGAAAAAAAAAAAAAGAGATCCCCGTAAAAGCTTACATTCATTTTCTTAATTGATTTCCTCCAATAATCATCACACAACATTCCCGTAGCCATCAGCATGGTCATCACCCGGTGCTGACGCAGGAAATTGGAGATATGATAATGTATTTTATACTGGCAAAACATTAGAAACCATCTAAGGCTTTCTCTCTAGAGAAGGTAGAAGTGACAGGAGGAAAGCACTCTGACACTGCTACAGGACACCGTGTTGCAGATCTTCCATTATACTTCCCCCTTTAGACTCTTCTCACTGCCTCCCGTCCTCAAGTCCTTGAGTCTAACCGCTGCCTCAGAGATTCAGACTAAAAAGCGGCATTTAACGACTTATAAAAATCAATACTTGCTATTCATCTTTTAAAAGCAAACTCAGTGCTCTTGTCCCTTTGAATTACATTCAGCTGACATCATCTGACAGAAGAACAAATCAGTCTTTATTCTTTCACTTGCAGTAGCAGTATAGGACCCATATATATATATATATATATATATGGATATGCAAACTTTTTTTAAACTGATTTAGCTTTCGTTAGACTTTTCAGGAAATAATTTCGTTGCACTTGATGCCGTTTGGATTGTCCTGACCAAAGGCTTTGCTCATGAGAGTATCCATCTTGTCAGACTAAGCCATCAATTTGTGACCGCAACACTAAGTTCGGGATAAATCAGCATCTCATCCTGGCAGTTGGAGGCGGGATTTTGAATTGGCAATCATCAGCAGTGGCTTTGCGGCACCGTGTTGGCCCAATTTGTCACCCCTCTGTCACGATAGATGGTGATCAGCAGGCACTACATCCTGTCACCTGTTAAGAATTACTTGACAATTTATGCCGTTCTACAAATGCTCTCTCCAGCTGACTGGCAACATTATTTTGGTGACAAATCATCGGTTTGCATCAACACACATTTGGAAATACAGGCGCAAGTAAAGCAAAATTCTTCAGGCTTTGAACATGCAGATTTTTTTCAATTTAGCTTAAATGTTATAGTATAACTTTGTCACAATGTAATCACAAACAAAAGTAAAAACCAAACTCGGTAATAGCATCCAATCTGTATACATTGTCACTCTTTAAGGGCCAGTTGGTTGCATGCTATATGTGTTTCTACTACTACACTATAACCCACCTTGGTATTCTGGATTTGAAGGCTTCCGTGCTCCAGTAAGGAGAATCGTGGGTCTTTTCCAAGAAGACTTGCCCCGTTCTTTCTCCATGTGACCGTAGGTTCTGGGTCTCCTGATGCCTGACACCTGAGTAGGGACATGCCTCCCTGAGCCTGCGTTTGGTTGGATGGACCCTGACGGATGATAGGTGGTGGGCGGTCCTTCAGGGCTAATAATCGAGAAACAGGTGTTATTAGTCCAACCCCATCCTTCACACTGTAATCGTGTTGTCAAGGACGTGGAACGTCACCACAACTTTTTCTTTTTCTAACTCGTTGACAGACTCGCGAAAAAAAGTAGCTGACCTTATCACAAGGTGTTAATTTGCGTTTGCGATAATGACATTAGTTGTTGCACGTCCAAGACGCAAGAATCCAGTTTGATGGATTTGTTGTGAGAGGAAGTGACTGTTTTGTGAACCTTTTGCCTAGCAGAGCAGTGTACTCATGGCACTGCATCACACCTTTGAGCTTTAATTACTAGGTGAGGATTAACGATGCTTCACCCGTGGTGCTAATTACCATAGCTACTTTATAACACCTCTCACACATTCATGCTTGTCCTCCTCCTCTTCCTCCTACTGTGAGGCATGGTTGCGCCTCCCTCCTTAGCATACCTCACCAGTCCCCCCAAACAAACAGACAAAAAACCTAACTCTGAACCGGCATGCCAAGCAGAACAACAGAACATTTCTTTTAAAGCTCTTAGAGCAATGTTGTATCGTCAGGAAACAGCTCCTGCACTTTGAAATAGTCATTTCTAGAGTGTCGAGTCTCTCTAGGCCTTGTAACTAACCCCCCGCTTCCAATTTCCTCACCGCTGCTCTCCCATGTTATCAGGTGAGCCTCCATTCACACAAGTGCAGCAGGCTCCAACTGCCTTATCTTTTATCGCACCTTCTTCAGCACAAAGAGCAATACGGCATCTCAAGCGAAATAACAGAAAAATCAGGTGCCGCTAGGTACAGAATAATGTCCAGTATGCAAAAAGCATATGAAACCTTGCGTGACAGTTGTTCTGGAGGCTAGACTGTGTGTGTATTTATGGAGCAATATAACACCACCTACATTATGTGACTCACAGAATCTATTGAGATTTGACTGACATATGAAACATTTATGCACAAGAAATAAATGATGCTCCAATCAGCTTTTCATGGGGATTCAACTTTATTACTTCCTTTTAGGTGAGCGTAAGACCTCGCTACATTTTGGCTTCAAGATGGAGAGGAACAGCGTTTCAAGAAAGATATGACATCTAGTGTGCAGCAAGGTGTCATTATCCCCAGTGATTACGGAGCAATAAGAAATATTATATTCCTGTTCCAGATTTAGACGTTGCACTGTGTGAAATGCAATCACTCTCTCTAGCGTTAGCAAGCATGATCATAATGAAATGGTATACTTCATAATGCTTTTGTAGAACACAAAACAGTCACTAGTTTTATTCCTACAACCTTGTGAACTTGATTTAAACCCTGATTACAGGAGCACAAAAACATGATTATAAAGTGCACTACTGCTCAAGTAAAAGACAAAAGTAACTCTCCACCACTGATCATGTTTTTTCTGATCGACCATCATAATGGTTTCTGTTTCCAAAAACTGTTTCCAAAGACACAGACACATCCGGCCACTGGCTTAGGATACCATGAAGAGGCAACTGCTGTGGTATATATGGGTTCACTGCCACGGCAATATATACTAATCTGAACACCGGAAAACATCAAAGAATCTATTCAGCATCTCAGCCTTCCTTCAGAGTGTTCTCTAATTTCCTAAATGCACTCAGCAAAATATGATTAGATACACCATAAATAGCACCATCTCACTATTTGCAAGGCATTATGCAGTAGTGTGATTATACAAGAGTTTATGGCGAATAAACTGCAAAGAGTAGAAAGCAAAAAATACTTCCCATCCTCAGTATGCATATCTGCCTGCATCACATAAGGTTATGTTTAGGGTGAACTCATTTTTTTTTTTTCCACTGGCAGACCTTCCTGAGCTTCCAATGCAAATGCCTTCCAATCTTAAGTAATGCTGGAAATGGCATTGTACAAGCTTCAAAAACTCACTCAGGCAGCATGCCAACTCTCTATCCATCTTTGTTTACAGCCATCTGTCAAAGGCATTTCTCCCATCCTTCACACTCTACACCTCACATTTTGATATCGATCCATCTCCTCTGAGTGACAGAACAGAAGTCATTTCCTTTCCAAAACACTTCAACAGATGTTAATTTAATAATGTGCGGGAGAAAAAAAAGAAGAAACAAATGGAGAGAGGGGCATAAACAGCCCTCAGCTGGCAGCTGCACAGCACTTAATGCTGACATTAAAGCTATGTTAAAAGATTTGGGTGTCTCTTCGCAAAGTAGACAGTTTTATTTCGACAGTTTCACTCTTTTCACTCGGCAAAGTCAAAAAGGAAGATTTCGGCTGGCTGGCTTTTAGAACTCGCAGGTCTTTGCCGGTAAACTGTAAGTGTGGGCAGAGACTGCACTTTAGTGCCCGCCGTGCTAAATACTTATGCGTTTCCGCTTTGTATAATTGAGAATGCATTACAATAAAAGACAGAGCAACATAAAATACAGATTCCGATATGCTTTTAAGCATATTGCAAGGTTTCAGTATTTTCCTCAATTGGAAAAGCAACACTTATACTATTTTAACATATTGTTGTGCGAGGTAGCAGTAGTGAATTGGGTGGAAATGGAGGTACTGTAATGAGCAATATTGTCACAATGGATTTAAACTGCATACCTAGAAAAACGTGTATTCAAAATTTAGCATATTCTATAGACTCTTGTCTGTCCTCATGCAGAAAGGATGGTGTCTACGTGCGTGTGCATTCCACCTTACCGTCTGCTACCTCCAGCTGGGCCTTGGCCATGATGCTGCCCGCCACAGTCAGAGCTTGGCAGATGTAATAGCCCGCATCCGAGCGTTGTACAGATGCGATGGTCAACTCTCCGTTTACAGACACAAACACACGGCTGTCCCCCTGTGCTGGCTGATTGGGGAACAAAAGATCCTGCAAAGAGTGATACGGAAGAAGCATTTTAAACGTATTGAAAATAGGATGACAAGCCATCCAAATTTAGCATGTTCCTGGCCTTCTTTTTTAACCTTTTCTCTTGATATTTTTCACTGCATTACTTCAGTACTGACTTGATTTGATGTGCTTAACACATACTACTCAACTTGCTATGAATGTGTCATCAGAATATAATCAGATGTGTAGCTTCACACAGGCAATGACAGCCCATTTAGATATAATGGCTAGTAGAGCAGCCAAAACTGGTTTTATCTTATTAACATATTTCAGCCAGTTCCAACCACATCTCTCTATTTCTGCCTACCTTGCTCTTTATCTGAAAAAAGCGATGTTGTTTTTGTGGAAATGATTTTGCTTCGAGTGACTTCTCCTCTGCGTGTGACATTTTGTGGGTGTCAAAGTGCTATGCTGTGCGGGAAATTGCATCACTCCTGAGTAGTTCAATCTGGAATGTATCTTGTATTGATCAGTAGAGGCCCTGCCCCTTAGAAGCACCCCACTCAACCCAACTTTAGAAGGCATGAGGAATTTTGTTTGTTTTCGTTTAAAATGGAAAAACTCAACATTCAAGTAATCATTTACAATTCAGTTATACGAGCGGGTTAATTTTGCTTGTGTCTATGATAACCTGCAGTCGTGGTCATGAAATGGAGGCATCAGCGTTGTGCACTCCTGCACCCCGGGCAGACCAGCTGATGGGCAGGAAAGGACATTAGCCTGCTTTCATTATGTCTAATGACGCTAATGCAGCACATGACATTGTCTCTCACTAAGTGGATTGGCTTGTCAGACTGGTGTAGATTGATGATAAATGACCACTTCATTATATATATGTGGAACATAACCCACGTTCTGCTGTGCCCCGGTTTGATCCTTTTAGTTGGATCCTAAGGCATTTTTTTTAGATTTTTCTTCAAGATCACACTCTTTGTGCGTTTGTTTTTCCCAACCTGGGTTTTAAAGAAAGTCTTGCCGGACGAACACAACTATGTCGTTGCCAAAAATTAATTTTCCTTACCTTGCTCCCCTCTCGTTGCCAGAATACAGTGGGCTGAGGCTTCCCTCTGGTCTCACAGGGAAAGGTAGCCATTCGTCCTTGGGCAACAATTTGGTCTCGGGGCTGCACCACAAACTGGGGTGCCTCTGAGTTTAAGATGAAATAAAGGATAAGAACCCTGCACCACATTTACATAGGTATCAAAGTATGTTTTACTGTTACAGCATTTTGAAACAATATGAGCTGACTGAATATATCCAACTTTAAGCTAAAAGTGCTCATGCATTCAGTGTTTGCCATCCACCAAAGAACTATTTTTCTTTTTTGTCAGGCACGCAAGCCATTCATCCAACGGCCCGAGCATCAGAACGATGCATTTAGACTAACAGGTGCTTCTGAATGGCCATCGTTGTTCAAGTTTTTAAACTAATGCACAACAACCACATCTAGGCGCCTAGTTGGAGAGAAGTGAGGCTGTTCATGTAATGTTTCTACAAAAGAATACCAAAGGAGGTACGGGGTTGATTGAAACAGTGCAGAGATGCATGTTCAACATTAGTCTGATGGTTTGCGCTTGTGGAATACCACAACGGTTCATGCATATTGAACATGTGTGTGATTGAAAACATAAAAGAGCAACACATGCACAATGGGATCAGCTCTTACTTACCAACAGGGCGAGCTGGTGACACAACAATGGTGTGGATGACATTGACACACAACACAGAGAAGGAAAGCATAGGAGCAGAACAGAGGGACAGAAAAAGAAAGAAATGAAAATCAGAAATGAATGAGGTGAAATCGGGTTTCCGTCCATGAAGTTTAGGAACGAGAAGGGAAATGCTCAGTAACCAAAGCAGGTGATGGCATGGTGTGTGTACCTTTGGGCACCAGGATTTTTTTCAAATACAGTAATAAAAAACAATAATTACAAAATCAGTAGTTGTGTAATCATTTTAAACCCAAAAATCAAAATTGATATCCAAATATTTTTTTTTTTTTAGCAAAACTTTGAATTGAGATTATTATTTCAAAAGAAATCTTTACAAACTAAAAACAAATCAAGGGTTTTGTTTGGTATTTTACAGCTGGTTGTTAGAGCCAGAGAGAGAACATCCATAAGCCAAATACTTGCTTTGTAAGCATGTTTTGCTCCAATGAACAGATTAGATTTCTCCAGTATAATGATTTGGGAATTTTCACTGCCACTTTTTCTTTAACATTATCCTATTAGTATCTCTTAATTCCTACATAACACAAGTGTTCTGAAAAACTGAGTTGTAACACATTCTGCTGAGCTCTTTTTGATTATTTCCAATATATTTTTGATATATGTGTCGAACAGTAGGTGCACTGGACTAGTTAATATAATATTAACACTCCAAATATCCCCTGTGACCTGCATGAAAAGTTGTCGACTGGAAGCAGAAGAGCAGGTATTAGTAGTCTTTTTCTCTCTAACTGGAACTTTTCCCCTTGAAATTAAGGCCAAGAAGACATTGTAATAACATTGTAAGAGATACTTCAAAATATACCTTAAACACATACGTTTATCTATTTACCAGAGAAATAGCAAAAAAAACACTCATGGGACAGAGAAGTATGAAGTTAACAGCGCATGGCCATGCTTTTGGATTTCAGGGTACCATTTAGGACAGAGGAGAGAGTGTAGCTAAAAAACCAATATGAAATATAAATAAATACAACAGTGGGTTTCTCTGTTTATCTCATTCTCTCAGTGTACGAAAACATTGGTCAAAAACATTTTTTTTCTGTTGGATGTCCTCTCCCTAGTAATTTTCAAACAACCATCTGAAATATTAAAAAAGGAATTTTTTTCCATTACTTTTGTTCTGTTGGCTCCATTTTGACAAAAAAAGGCTTTCACGTAAATCTCAATTTAAAGATTTGAAATGGGGATCAAACAACCACTAATTTTTTCATTTTTAAATTCATGTTTCCTAAAGAAAAATCCAAACCTATAATAAACATGCCCTGTTATGGGCCTCATCTTGACAATATTTGCAGGGGAACCATAACCAATGATAAAAACTTGAACACAACGCTTAAAAAGAAAAAAAGTGACATTCACACAACTTACAGATCTGTTTGAAAATCAAACAGATATAGAGTAAAATAAACAATTTTATGCAAGTTGCAGTCTTACAATGGATGCAATCAAACTAACTCTATACCTGAAAGGACATATTACATTTAGAATGACTTATTTGTCTTTGGAGTTAAATAAAAAACGGTTATATAAAAATGGGTATATAACAACATAAACAAAAATCAGGAAATCTGATTTGTAACAACTGTATTCCGATGTTTGTTTTCACGTTTAGGCATTAATCATAAAACAGCATCCTCTAAATGGAGGGAGGGTTCCGTAAATGGGTTTAAAGGAGAAGGAATCCCCTAAGGGAAGTCATAAAAGTTATTTAAAACTGATAAGACTGTTCATATCTGGAGCATAGCTGGAGATCGGCTGCAAGCAACTACACCAGGCTGCTATATGAAAGACAAGCTGAGACCAAGCCCAGCTTCTCAACAGGGGGTAGCAGCATTTATATAGCGGGCAATAAAGGACTGTCTTGAGGTATTTTTTGATAGGAAGACGAATGAATTAATAAATAAATACGATTCCAGCGATGGGTTATGAGGTTTGTCACACACAAGACCGCACACAGTTACTAACCTCTGATGGTCAGGTAGGCAGAGGCTTCCACTTTACCAACCCGGTTCTCTGCCATGCAAGTGAAGGTTCCCTGATCAGTGACCGATGCCTTCTTGATCCTCAGCAGGAAATCCTCTCTTTCATATCTGATATCATACCTTCAAATGGAGAGAAACAGCAAGACAGCAAGTCAAGAGACTTAGGCTGACCTAATTCACGTGCTAATTAAAAAGCCCATTTTGCTGAAGACAATACACAAAACAAACTCTGGAATTACATCAACGGTGTGTAAACTTCAGATTTTTTTTTTTAGATGGGAGCTTTGAAAAAGAGTTTGTCATATTTAATATAATAACACCAGACGTTCTAAGGCAATTGCTATGGTGCTTGAAAAAGAAGAGCAATTACAGCGAGATGAAGGCAAGGAAAAATGAAAGGTGCTTTCAGCTGGAACCCTGATTGTTCCACTCTTTCAATATTCATAAAGACGAACCACCCACTGTAGTGTGGGCTGTTGCAGTATGGCATATGTGTGTGTAGGTGTGTGAGGCAGAGAGAGATAAAAAAGAGTGTGCATGTGTTTGAAAGAGAGCTAGGGAGAAATGGGAAAGGAAGAGATAGACAAACAGTCTGAGAGTCAGGGAGTGGCACAGTCTGACAAACTGAATTTGATGAATGAGCCAAACAGTAAGACATGACTAATTCATAGAGATGTTCTATGCATCTGAGTGTATCCACCAGTGAAGCAATTGTAGGGCAGCAGCACTGCAGTTAGAGTGAGAGAAACATCTCAGCTAGCAGAGTTTAGATAAGAGCCTCCGAGGGCCTACAAACAGAATCAGTAAAAGAAATAAGAAGTTGGTCCGTCCCTCTCCGGGGTCCCTTTGGCATGAGAAATCTTGTGAATTTGTCTGGCCAGCCATACTGATTCAAAGATTGGAGGCAAGTCAGGATGAGAAAATGGCAAAAAGGGGTGAGAAAAAAAGTTGCATTCAAAATAGATGTTCCGAAGGGTGTGGGCAGAATATCGATGGGGGTTATGAGGTCTGTCCGGAGTCTGGTGAGGACTCCATTCACAGCACATCTCTGACCCAGATACAGACCTCCCGGGAGACTGGCGGGTTTCGGAAAAGAATGAAAGAAGTGGAGGGAAGGAAGGCGAGGTGTGTCTGAAAGTAGGACATGTTGGCAGAGTGGAAGGGTGGGTGAGGTGAAGGGGCTCAACATAGGCAACCAGACAGGTCGCCTGGCAGAGAAGCTGGCAGTAATTACTATGCATGTCACATTATACCTTAATAAGCAACAAACTGTTGTCTATTGACAGCTATGGTTTGTAAAGAGTGTTCTTTCAACACACGCAAAACACACACATACACACATACACACACACGCATATACATATGTAGAAATTTATATTAATAGCTTCCAATTCTTTTATTTTGATATAACCAAACTATTCTATTCTACCTTCTAAAGCATTACATAGTACAACTAACAACACATAATTCTTTAAAATTAATAAATCGATAAATCCATGAAAACGATAAATGGATGTGAACCAGTTTGGTTATGTCTATGCCCATGTAGACCAAAATACACCATTCCCTTCATTATGATGCAATTCACTGCAAGACCACATCCAATGGACTTCAGAAATCAGCCCATGATTCAATTAGCATCCTTAAGGCTGAAGTGCACTTTATTAACTTCAAGCTATTATGAGACCTTCTGTGGCTAATGCATTAGATTGCTTGATTACAAATTCCTATTGGCTCCTTCTCTATGGACTTTTCACTGCCTAAAATGCGTGACCCACACATTAAGTATTGCATGCTGGTACTTGGAAGTCAATATTAATCAGGAACGTATCACATATTTATCAGTTTATCAGAGGCCTAGAAATTAATCTGATCATCTGTAGCTAATTCCTATTTTTTTTCTTACACTTGTAGCTCTCTACCATGTTGAATCCCTGCAAATATTCTTTAGGTTTATCTGTTCTTTCCGTTGTTGTAAGACTCACACACCAACTAAACACACACAAAAATGCAGACATAGGGCATACACTCACTCACAGTCCTCACCTGCCACGAGGAATATCCACATCCTCCTTCCTCCAGCGCAGGGCAGGGGGCGGATCACCATGGACCTGACACCTGAACTCTACGCTCTCATCAACTAGAACTACTTGGTTCACAGGCCGTTGCGCAAATGTTGGTCTCTCTAAATGTGGAACACACAGCGCTTAAATGCTAAACATAGTTTTTATACATAGGTTAGATATAGTCTATTTGCCATTGTGAAGTAAGATAAGTAATTACAGTTTGAGCCGGGCTATGAGCAAACGACACCCTTCTTACCAAACACTGAGAGCTGAGCTTTTTCACTTTCTCGCTCTCCCACCATGTTGGTGGCCACACACACATAAATCCCTGAATCACTCTTCTTGGTATTGGAGATGGTCAGCTTTCCCCCTCGAACCTAAAAGCAATAGTGACTAAAATGAACCAGTTCCATGGAAAGTCTTTTACTGTGTGACAAATCAATGTAATTGTGATATTCCTGGTATGATTTACAATAGAAAAGAGAAAAAGTCCCATCCGGAGGTTTAACTCACAGTGATCCTGTCATCCTTGAGGTCAAGACGATTCTTATCTTTTCTCCAAAAGGTAGTAGGCTCAGGATGACCACGTGGAGGCTGACACTCGAAACTGGCCGTCTCCCCGACGGCCACCACCGCATCCTGTGGATTCTGCTTGAAGTCGTCCCGTAACACTACGATAATATAAAGCAAGAAAAGCAAAAACACCCACGTCAACTTTTATATAATTCTAACATTTGTATTTTGGTGATGGAGAAGACACTCTTTGACTAAACTGTGATGATCTATCTTGATCTATCTCTGTCCAGCAGGACCTGTTACATTATCATAATCCATCTGCATGTAACAGGTAAGTTAGTTTAATCATCTGATTTCTTGATTGTAATTTATGAAATTCATCATAACACCTACTGGACGAGAGTTAAGCCAATTATGTTGTATGTGCAGAAGATTATTGTTTTCTAAGTCAGTATAAACTAGACTTGCCATCTTATCATTGTATTATGCTGTTAATTACTGGTCTATGAAGTCAGTGTAACAAACAGTGGTATTTGAACTTTTGACCTAAAAGTATATACCAAATTCAAAGTCCGAGAGAATAATGCCATTTCTGATTTTATTGTGGTAGCATTAAAACAAATATTGTTGTAAACCATCAAATTGGATGTCCGTGATGGGCGCAAAAGTGAATTGCCTCCCATGTAATCTCTGCCATGGTAAAGCTAAGCAGCTTGTGATCCGTAAAAACATAAGCTAACACACAAAGTCAAGGCCACAGATGTTTTAAAATCTCTTAAGAAACCACTATCAGCTCAAAAATATCAAACGGCTGCGTTGTGGGTTCTGAACTTACATTTGGAGAACATTAAAAATAGCTTGAATAAGGACTATTATCACATTAAAATAAGGGGTCATTATTATCTTCGCAATAACCCCTTCTGCTGTGCGTTATTTTTCTGAAACCTTGGATAAAGAAAGTTGCAGTAAAACGAGGGCAGCCATTCACAGGATGCACAGGGTCAGACCTTGGTTTGTTGAAAAGAGGGTGTAATACAGCGTGTTGAAATGTGGAGGGAAAGTAAATAGGCCTGGGGATATTGACTGGATCAAATACTTTATGAAGCCTTATGAAGTGGCAGGGGAACAGGTGCAAGGTCTCATTTAGTTGCAGAAGGAAAAAACATACCAACAAAATACCACACTGAAAAGAACAAATTAAATCTTCTTGCAACGTGATAATGTGTGATTTGACAAATACACTGAATGTCCTCCACAACGCTCTGGAAAGGAACCAAGACTGGGTTTGGAAGCTGGCCAGCTCCTATAATTTACCAAAACAGATCTCAAAGCTAATACTGCGGCATGAAGCATGCGGCTAAAATATGACGCAATTCATTTATTTGGTCTCACATCTACACGCTTTTGGTTAATTAGAATCCCATTTCTGAGCAGTTATCCCATTCTGCTGTCAGCATTCTCATCTATCTAGAGCAGGTATCTCTGTGATTTGTCTAATTAAAAAAAAAACTCACTATCAGGGATTGTCAAACTTTTATTGCAAGATTCCCACTGATGCATGTTGACCAGTTTAAGCTAACAACTGCTAAGTTGAAAGGGTTGAAGCTTCAAAACTTCCTGATTCTGTCATAAATGTAGTGGCAATTACCATTTCAAAAGCGTCTTCTTTTATGCAGCTGTTTAAATGCCTGCTCTGTAAGCCATCATTGGTATTACGGTTAAAAATAGGAATTCTAATTTGAATCCTGCAACGATTTGTAACCTCTTTACATTAATTGCTTATGACATGTTTTTTTATGAAAAATCTCGCTGTTGGCCTATTTTACATTAAAAAAAATGCAGAGTATGACAACAATCATGACGGTTGCAAAAGAAAATAAAGAGCTTTCTTCAAAGAGCTTTCAGCTTGTGAATAGAAAAGTAGCAGCAAACTGTCATTTCTGATTTTTTTTTTGTGAGAAACTTGAAATTAATCATATCTCTTCATTAAGTATACTTTTCTTTTTTCAAATTCAGAGCGGAGAAAAATGGCATGGCGCTATTGAGTTTGATTTCCATCCTCATTACCGCCATAAGCTATTCTGTTGATACACTGTAGCATGAATTCCAAGTCCCAAAGGACACCTCTAGTGGAAGAGAAATCAGGGAGCAGCCAGAGGCCTCTTGGCCCCGCTGTCAATCACATTCTGCCGTAAATGAGTCTCTGCTGCAGACAGTCATTTGGCACAGACATATGCCTGGCTGCCTGTCATGTTGTAGTGTACGCTTAGTGACCCATTCCAAGGCGGGCCCCACCATCCCGACGCACAACTTCATTCCGGCCCTTGTGTTGATGATACTTCTTTAACAGTAAAGCTTGTCTCAAGGGACTGGGTAACTCAAACACAAATAGGAAACAATGGAGATCTACGTAATTGGAGACAAGTGAAAATCCAATTACAGAGAGGTAAAGAGGAGGAAATGGAATGTTTCTGACAGTTAAATAAGACAGTGAACTTGATAAACTAACACTAAACTAAAAGTACCACACAAAGAAATGTTGTCGTTTCCCTACAGGCACTCATTAGATGAAGTCATTTACTTTATTTCTGGTCTTAATTTTTTCAGTTTTACTACATTTTACACCAATCCGTTACAATAAAAACATTTTTTATTTCTTGTCTACTTCTTTTTTTGTGTGTGTGAGCGCTTTATGACAGATTGTGTACGTGATGAATCATGTTCGTAGAAATTGGTGAATAACTTATAACATTCAATCCCCCGTTAATATGCCGTTGCCAGTTTGAAAAGCGGCGGAGGTGGGGCCGAGTAATCAGTGCCGTTGGTACAAGAACTGTGATTTATTCGGTCCTGACAGTGTGCATTAATGGCAGTTATCCTACACCCCCGCTCCTGCTCCGGATCTTGCCCTTTTCTTTCACTCTCTCCCTAAAAGACCTGCGCAGGTTTCTGTGGGAGGCACACACGCTGGCATCGGTGACGTGGGGTGGAGGTTGTGGTGTTCGAAAGCTGTTCTCAGAATGAAAAACCCCCGTGGAGGCAGCATCCATGTGTAGCCTGTTGTCTGGCGGTAATTATTTCAGATGGCAAGGCCGCCACCGCTGCCTAATGTTGTTTGATTGAGTACTGCTCAATTATTCAAACAAGGCATTCAGGGGACTCACCCGTTTGCCTGTTACATTTATCAAATGAGAGAGAATGATTTGTAAATGGGCTCATTCCATGGCACAATAGGTGGCGAAAACACGTGACAAGGTGGAAGTATGTGAATACAAATAACAATACCGAGAGACTCATTATGTGATTCACAGGGGAAGGAATTTGATTGCTGTAAATTTTCATATATTCCACCTTACACTTCAGATTTCTCTAGGCTCTCTCCACATAAAAAAACAAAAAAAAAAACACTCGGCAGCTGAATTTCATATCATCTTTTCACCATTAGATTAAATCCATAAAGATCCCACTTGAGATCTTGAGATGCGTAGCTCAGTTTGCTGGGCTGAAAGGCAGAAAATCATTACCATTTGGTAGCAAATACATGGATTTGGAAGAGCCTACTTACTCTTGTACAGTAGGTGATGTCATGCTTGAGTCCTGCCCAGACAAAGCATTTGATCATAAAAGCCATTATCTGATAAAGTGAATGTCTTGTGCATCCATTAAGGACACATCCATTAACTTAAAGGTGTATCCTAAAGCAAGACATTTAGATTAGATGCTAAACACAAGAGAGATGTGGCGGTATATTGTTATATGTTTGTTTTCATCTTAATGGCCATACGTCATGATTTTGTTACTTATGTCACATTGCACTGAACGCTAAGATCTGCTCTTGAAATGATTTTGAGGAATTGTACTAACATTATTTTTATGCTATCAGTGACGCTAAAAATAAAACAAACTGATAAGCTTTATAAATAAAAAAATATGCTTGGTTTAAAAGAGTATTAAAGGCAAAAAAAAAAAAATCAGTGAATCTCTTTTTTTCAAGACCAAACATATCACAGTTTAAGGTTTTTTTTCCTAATATCTTGCTGGTTTAATTTGTGGACCAATAATGTTCAAGACCAACAATGAGTTAAAAGGACCTTGTCTCAGCTGTAAGGTGAGTCATTGGAGCGTCCATCCCTGAGTCCCCAGAGGGCTAATTTATAGCTAAGAGTCTTAAATCTAACTTTTCACCCTGTCAAGCTTTCAGTGAACTCGGTCTCCACATTTTTTTTTGGCGACTCATCTTGATAACTGTTATTTCCACTAAATATTGTACAATAGGAATCAAGTGGACTCAATCTATTATCTAAATTTAATTCTACTGGTCCAGTAACAAAGGTGGGAGCAAAATATTTGCTGGTGGTCAATTACATTCTAACAGTGTTATGAGACTTGCCTGTTTTTAAATCCAATTTAATTTCTTAATGGACAGCAATAGCAAAAGGTATATATATTGCCTTTTTGTCTTTATGCAATAATTACTTAAAAAATATCAATTTATTATTTTCTTTTCTTTCTTGAATGACTTACTAGTTTTAGCTGGTCTCTGGTGTTGACAGAGTAGAAGTGATCTTGTTGCTATGGATTTTTGTGATGGCAAATATCTGCTTGTTTTCACAATTAGTTAAATGGCTCAGATGGTGTAATGAACCAAGAACGATTTTAACAGTAAGGCAAGACCATGTTGCCATGATCATAAACTCTGAGGTAATATGGCCATTATCACCAAGTTCTGCTCATGCTACTTTTTTTGTTTGGCATTTAATACATGCCTGTGTAGCTCTGCAGCCTTTACCACATAGCCTTTAAGTACAGAGGTATTCCCACTGGTTTTGATCACTCTTAATTTATCTAATTAACCATGCCTCTAAAATAAGATCAAGGTTCCCGTAACTGAACCAATAAAGTACATCACATGAAAAATAATAATAAAAAATAAAGAAATAATAATAAAGACAGGTAAAGTTGCAAACAAAACAAGACCAAGGGTGAAACCCCATAACATTAACTTAGACAACATTATCTTTACTTTGTTTGTACATGAAATTGATTGTGCTTTCTAGTGAACTTTATACTCTCTACCGTATGCCGTCACAAGCAAGTCAGCTAACAAATCCACTGAGGAATTTCATGTTGTGCAAACTCAAACAAAGAAAACTGTTGTGACAGAGACACACCACCGAGGAAAAAAGGGGACACTGTTACCGAGCAGAGGGGAATGATGAAGAAGCTAACACCCTGTGAGTTCTTGTGTGTAGCAGATGCTTTCTATTTGGGCTGGGGAGGCACAGACGCCGTGACAAAGTGCGAAGCTGCATGCAGATAATGCTCGCCACATACGGGCGACGCACAGAAATCTGAAATGAAATCAAATACTGTTTTACAGGGATGATTAAATAGAGCCCGTGCTTCTTTTCACGCAGCGGGGTTGAGACTGACGTCAGTGACTGGGTACGGGGATAAGAGCTTTAGTAGTATAAAGGTTTATACTGCCAGTGGTCCAGTGTCAGAAAATGGATTACAGCCAAGTGATTTCTCATGACAGTGGTCTGCTAAATTGTGGTTCGGAGTTTGCTGAAGATTCTTTTTGAGCAATTTAGCCCGCGGGGGTGTGTCACTTTCTCAACAGCAGTCAAGGATGTCCCATATCTGTCACATGCAGGAAACACACACTGACACATGCGCTCACACACGCGCATTCATATGCGCACACAAATAAACAGAAAACAGCTGCCTGGCTCCTCTCTTACAAAGTTTGCTGATGTCCACAACACATCATCTCTGTTCAAAAGGCCAAAATAGAATGGGAGACAGATATGCCGACGCACAGCCCTCGGAAAGAGATACATTCTCTGATGAGGAGGGCTATTTGCACTTGGGATTCATTCTTTTTTTTTGCATAAATAAACAACTTAACATCTCTGTGCCCCAAAAAAGTCATCAGCAATCAGCCAGGACTAAGATCAGCAGAGACATGAGGAGCATTTACACAATGTCCCCTGAGGCCTAGAGCCCAGCGACGACATATATTACCTATTATATTTTTGCCTTCTCAGCAGCAGGACACATGCAAAAATAAGACCTATAATTTTATGAAATTTTTTTTTAACCCTGCATGTAGAGGTAGTTCAATTTTTGGCAGTTAGTAAGTTTAACAGTGTCTATGCTGTCAAATAACAGCTACATGCAGTTGTTTAAAAGAGGGTCAGACTGTCCCTTTAAAGTGATAATCGAAATGTAATCATGACTAATGATAGACTTCTGTTGAGCTTTAGAGAAAGTAAAAGTACAATTATTTGCATAATATTAAGAACAATTATGAGCCAGTGTTATTTTAATTTTTCATACTTGTCATAGGTCTGGAAATCAGTGTAAGACCAGGACATCCAAGGTAAGTGAAGCATTATCCAAAACTATAAACGGACAGCTTGCAAAACCTAGCACTGCTTTGCTTTGCTTTTTGGGCATCATTAGCGTCAAATCCAATTAGAGTCAATATGAAGGTTGGAAATAGATGTATGTTCAACTGTGAGCATGCCTGTGGCAACGCACAATTTATACGCGGTTTTCTTTTTTAATGTGACTTTAGCTTGCAAAGTGAAAAATGCAAAGCGAGCTACTTCTTTCCCTCCCTTTGCAAGTTCAAAGAAATCCCAGTTAAATGGGCACAATTTATCTATATTTTTCATATTTGTACTCTTTCCCTCCATGGCATGTTTTAATGCGAATTTACACTTTTTATAATCTTATTAGTTATGCATTCGTTGGCCTTTGAATTAGAAAAACATTCAACCACCAAGAGTTAACACTGAGCACTCCACTATTGTCATGTTTAATTAACCTCCGTTCCTGTGTCATGTAAATTGAAGCTGGGGATGGTATAGCAGCGATCTGCCCTCCTCTCGTCCACTTCCACACATCTCCGTTCCCTCGTCTCTCACTTGGCTTGCCTCTAGTTACTGTAACAGCCTTCCCTCAGACCACATCTCCACATCTATAATTAATTACCCTGTCTGCCTGCATTTCTTCACGAGAACACATTCCTCTATCTCTTACAATAACCTATGTAAACCTGCTCATCCCCGCTCCCTAGACTATTAGAACCCAGTCTCACCCTCCGTATAGACACCTGTAAATGCATATGCAGTGTTGTAGGCAAAACAGCGGCCAAATATTTGAGCACGGCTTTAGTTCATGATTTTGCATTCACGGATGGTTAATTCGTCCTCATTATTTGCTGTGCTCTGTCCGTCTATTTTTCTGAATGCTAAAAAAAAAAAAAAAAAAGCTTTCAGTTCCATGGCTGGGAGGCACAAATAGCCCATGTTCATAAACCTTGATGCTGTTCTGGCAGTTATTGGAGGATCATGGAGAGTAAGAGAGAGAGAAAAAAAACAGAAAAGAAGAAAGCGCAAAAACAGAAAAGGTCGATAGCATTATTTTTCTCTCAAAGACCGTGGATATCGTAGACCCTTACAGCAATATTGTGGAGATGCACAACATCAGCTGGAAAATGAGTCAGGGATCAGAATCTGGCATTTTATCCGCCTTGCTTCACTAAAGCAGTGGTCACCAAGGGAAAGAAAGCTTTCTTACAGACTCTGCTCTTCTCTGACTGAAGATATGCACCCTGCTGCGTTTCACAGTCCTGATCACTGCCATCAACACAATCCTGAGGAGGGTTAAAAAAAAAAAAAGAAGCCACATGTTCTTTAAAGGGCTTGTAAAGGCTGGGAAGGCTTAAACTGTTTTTAAACACATCATCTATCATTCTAGCGGCCCTGTAAGATTCAGAGTTATGCAGTATGGAGATCTTGGAGAGGATAAAAGAATAAATTATATTCCCTATTGCTTTTTTTTTCCTGCTGAATAAAACTGAAGCAAAAGATGTTCGAGAAATGAAAAAATAAAACCACGCCTGGTATACTCAGTGCATCTGCACCATCTTACATGATCAAACACATCCAATGTTGGCCACTGGAGACGGTTGCTGTGCTGTGTTTACCACCAGCATCATGGCTTTATCCTCCTTTGCATGGGCACATACAGATGGGCC